GATGCGGAAGGCGACGTCGTTATGGCAGAAGCAGACAAAGAAGACAGCAAGGAGGTATCTGCACCTCAAGTCGAGGCGAAGACCAGCGAAGAGGCAGCCGAAAAAACCCCTGCTGAAGACAAGATTGACGCAGTTGCCGGGACTACAGACGCTATCACTGCCTAAATCATCATCGGGCTGCGTGATCAACTAGGGGAATGTAGATATTCTTTCTTCCATTTCTGCTACTATCGGCCCTCTTAGCAGGACTGCACCCTATACTTCAGAGTCATTGCGGCTTTGTTGGCTTTGTTGAGCGAGTCCAGAACGCCCGCATATTGAGGATTCTCTCTGGCGTACACTAGCTTTCACGGGGTTTGAATGATCCCGCCATTTCTAATATTTATGCCTACAGTGCTGAGCGGGCATCGCTGTTTATGCCCTATGGGACCCTATGGGAGATATACGAGCTAATTTCTGCTGCCCATGTTTATCTCCTTGGGCGGCTCTTTACCGAAGGGTAGTTAGTGGAGTACAAACATGTCTTTGCAAATTAAACAATAAATCCCAATACTTTCCAGCCCCAGTATCCGTGTTCCTTAGTATGCTCATGTGAGTACGCGGCCGGCTATGCTGTCCCAGATGTTCCTCTTTGCTATGCGTCCCGTTTGCGTAGTTGCTAGATGTGGCGCGTCGCGTCAATGCCCCACCATCATTATGACGTCCCTATGCGTTGAGCTCCATAACAAAACCATGCGGAAAGCGTACAACATCGTTCTTACCACAGAATCTTCATAGATCCCCTCGTGTTCTTCCTGCTTGATATTCAAACCTAATAATTCCGAAGTGTTCCAAAATGGCCGGCGCATCAAGAAAAGACCTTCTCAAGAAGGTGTACAACATGGTACCGCCTATGCTCGAGAGCTTCCACAAGGGTATGGAGACTACTCTGGGTTCTAGAATGCGTGTCTAATTCATCTCTCCAGGTCAATTGGGTCGTGTAGCAGTCATTGGTGGCAGTGAAGATTACACTGGCGCACCCTACTTCTCCGCCATGGCCTCTGCAAAATTGGGTTGCGATATGGTGCTATCTCCTAGAAACACTCATATGAGGAGATCTGCTGACGCTACTTTAGTCTCACGTCATATGCGAGCCGGGAGCAGGCGCCGTCATCAAGACCTACTCTCCTAACCTCATGGTACACCCGTACATGCGGCAATCTAAGAACCTTGCGCAATCCGAGAGCGCCGACAGTGTAAGCGCAGAAGTTGTTGGGATGCTATCGCGGCTCCACGTTGTTGTAATAGGTCCTGGGCTTGGTCGCGACAAGCTCATGCAAGACACATGCGCAAGGGTGATTGAAGAGGCTAGGAAGCAGGGCATTCCGTTTGTACTAGATGCAGATGGTCTGTACCTTGCACAGACGAGGCCTGAACTCGTCGAAGGCTGCAAAGAGTGTATCCTCACGCCCAACGTTGTGGAATTTGGGAGACTGGCCAAGGCAAAGGGCGTCAACGTTGACGAAGGCGATCCTTCAGAACTGTGCTCTAAGCTATCAAAGGCTTTTGGTGGTGTTACGATTATCCAGAAAGGCGCCAAGGACTACATTTCCAATGGTTCGCATACCCTGGTCTCCGACGGCGAGGGCGGCTTGAAGCGCTCGGGTGGCCAGGGCGATACTCTGACTGGTAGTTTGGCGACTCTGCTGGCCTACAGGAAGGCATACCACGACAAGCTGTGGGATATTGGAACTGAGATGTCAAGGAGCGAGACGTTGGCTCTTGCAGCATATGGTGGCTCGTGTATCACAAGAGAGTGCTCCAAGTTGGCGTTCAAGGAGAAGGGCAGATCGCTACAGGCTAGTGATCTGACGGAACATGTTCACACTGCATTCCTTAACATCATTGGAGAAAGGGAGGAGACACCGATGCTATAGATAATGCCTAAGAGTTCGAAATATGAGATATAGGAGGTCGAGCCTACTCAGTCAAGGCAAAACTGGGTGATTGTAAGATAAATACATAATAGCAATGATACTTCGTATACATTCTGAAGTGATAGCTTAGAGTACATGTTCTAGAATGAGTATCTGGAAGATGAGAAGAAGAACTGAAGTAAGTTTGGAAAGTGGACGGACATGGGGGAATATTCCAGTGTTCATGATATAGTTAATCCTCGGGACTTCTATACTTGATCTATACTAACATTGCAATTGAAGGAAAGAAAAAAGAGTATTCTTCTGCCTACCATCACGGGCCAGCCTTGATTCATAGAGCGAAACATCTAAGCGAGAGATCCTCCAAGCACCCAGACTTCACCGTTGGCAACTTTGTCGGCGATACTCTTGATTTCGACGTTGGCGGGCTGGATCTGCAGGATTCAATTAGCTCGGAATCTGGCAGTGCTTGGCAAAGAAAAAAAAAGCATTGGAACGCAACCTTTGGCAACACCACAAAGAAAAGCAGGATAGAAGTACATCCCGATGTGGCCAAAGAGAAACAATCCAAGAAAAAAAAGAACCTGGGGTATCTGACTGAAGCCAGACGAATGCTGATGAGAGTGGGACTCGAACCCACGCCACTTTCGTGACCAGGAATATGATGTTAAGAAGACCTTAACCTGGCGCCATAACCAACTCGGCCATCTCACCAATTGTTTTGGTTGTTTGATGGAAGTTTTAGAAACTGCATCGAATATGTTCGTGGGCAGTTGAGCCGAGACGCGAATGGCCGCCTGCGGTCTGGTGGGGCAACTCCGAATGCAATGCAGACTACTGTACTTGCGGGCATGGGTATGCTTACCTTCTTTTGGCCGTCCTTGGACTCCCACCAGATCTCGTTGCCGGCAAGTGTCTTGATCTTCTTGCCCTCTTCCCACGGACTTTCGGGGATAATGTGTCGCTGGATGAAGCGCTCGAGGTTGCTCTTCGCGCGGTCTTCTCCGCTAGCGCCCTGGTAGGCTTCGGCGCCTAGTTTGTTGTAGTCTTCTGGGTCTTCCCACGGCTTCCTCTTCAAGTCGCGCATGACGCTGTTGTGGGGAGCGAGTACAGTGGCGTTCTGCGCTGCGTCGTCTAACCGTCCGGCTACGGTGTCGACGTCCCTTGTCAGGCCGCTGAAGATGGCAATCTCCTGTGTGTTTCCGATGACATCGGATATGATGACGCCAGTTGAGACCTGTCCCTCTGGTTTGCCCATGATGTAGTCGCGAAGCGGTGATTGCTCAGTCAGGATGTGGAGCGAGTTGACGATGCTGTCGAACGGGCGAGACTCCGCAGAGCAAGCAAAGATCAGAGAGATGGTAGCAAGAGGGTATGCGAAGAAAGATCCGGATTTCATGGTGGCTTAAGCGGGGTGCATTAGGGTGTTGCTGGAGGGTGTTTGTGAGCGCGGCGGTTGGCGTGGGCAGCACACACGTCATGCCGCGGTGAAGCCAAGACCTCGTGCTCACGCGAATGATCGTCGGCCCTCTTTTCGAGCTCGGGGACTGATTCCTCTTCTCCTTGCACTCATGTCTCGGCCAACGTGAAATTCCGCGCCTTTGAGCGCGTCGCTGTTCGACCCGTCTATCCAAGCAGACGATCAAAAATTATGGAGTTGCAAATTCCAACGGTCAGAGTTGTGAGTACGATCGATATGCGAAGGCCCTTAAGACAGTACTTACAAGATTAGGACGATCTCCTTGCCTTTCACACGCAACACTTTCCCCACGCGTCAACGCCTGAGCATATTCTCTACGGTGTACATCACGAGCCGGAGGTGTCTGAAGAGTATTATGATGAAGAGGACGATGGACTCGGCTACTACCCCGACGGGACCAAGCGCACTCTGACCGATGAGCAAATTGCCATGTTCCGACACTCAGAGATCCAGGCCATCCTTCGCAAACGGCGATTACAGAAAGAGAACGGTGAATCTTCTGACTGTAAATCTACTGCCGAAAAGCTGTCTCCAGATGTTGCCAGCCCAACGCAAGAAGGGTCTTCGCATGTGGCGGATGATTTGCAACAGGCTCAGTCCAAGGAGTCGGGGCAAGCAAACAAGCAGCAATGGGCCACAACCAGTGCGAAGAGCAAAGCTAAGGCCAAGAGGAAGAGAGACAGATATGCGAAGAGGAGAAAAGAGGTTAGGCTGCAGAAGGGCCTGCCGAGACGAAGGAGTGGTCGCAATGGTCCAGGCAGTGATTACAGTGATGATGAGAGTGATGAGTGGGATCCATGGCACCAGGCGAATGGGCCGGATGTGCAAAAGGACGACACCCTGGATTTAGATTATTGAACCAGACAACTCTTGCAGTTATGGTTACTCGTCTTGGTCCATCCTCCATCACGGCTATCTGCTTTCAACAGCATTGCTTCAATGCTCTTGCGCAACCAAGCTTATAGTCCACATACTGAAGTCCTCATGTAAGTGTCCCATTTTTCTTTACCCCTTGTGCAATGATGAAACTTCGTTATCGTCATCCTTAGGCGGAGATGGTGCCACGCTTGAGACGAGAGTGAAAGACTACTTGCGGCCTGAACTCTTGACTCGTTTGGCGCTGTCAATGGCGAGTTTACAATCTTCTCTCTGAGCACTTCTACGTCGCTTTCACTGCTGAGTATATTATGCGCAATAATGTACTGACATGAAGGCTAGGGGCTAGCTTCCCTTTCGTAATTTTGATTCGAGTGGCGAGCATAGGTGAAGGTGTGGTTGCAGTGAAGACGTGGGCTTCTGCTACGATAGTTCTATACAATATGGGCGTTGTGAAAGGCTTCTATTACCTTGCCGTTCCACTGGGATGTGATTGAATAGTTATTTGTTAATGCCTTATCACCAAAAGATATGTTCACTCCTTCACACTCACTATCACTGTGTTTGCTCCCCGCCCACAGAACTGCGCTAGTTGAACCTGATTTCCTGCGAAGGTTTTGTCGTGCTTTTCTACGCTGCAACAGTCTCACTTAACTCTTCAGCCTTCTACTCTCTACTTATATCCCGAACACGACTTTCCTCGTCAACCAGTCACTCTCGACATCACCATGGCGCCTCAAAAGCCTGCTGCCAACGACAAGGCCCCGAAAGCGAAGAAGTCTCCCACTGACAAGCAGAGCAAAGACAAAGTCGTGAAGAGGCCGGCGCGTGGATACCACACCTTCAGGAATGGTATGCTCAACGTCACACCCAAGGGTGGAGAGAAGGACATGTAAGGACATCATGACTGGATTTTGCAGGAGGGAACTAATATCTTCCAGTGTCAAAGCCAACCAGCAGTCGCCTCTACTTCGTCTCCCGGCTGAGGTAAGGAGCTACTCGCCACCCAAATATGTAACGGATACTAAATATACAGGTCCGCAACATGATATGGGAATTTGCGCTCGGCCGAAGATTGTATGAAATAAAGCCCCGAAAAGTATACGGTCGACGCACGTATCCGCGAGGGGATCCTAGCGAAGTCAGTCTTCTACGAGTATGCCGTCAGATCTATGCAGAAGCAGCTAGTATTCCACTGCGACAAAACACATTCCTCATCGCGGACCCTCTTCAACCAGAGGCATGCTTAAGCACCTTCAAGTGTTATCAGCGTCGCCAGATTACTTCCCTCCGATTCGAGTGTTCTATGCCATACCCTGTTGCATACCTATTGGAAGCCATGGATTGGCTTTTCTTCATATTGAAATCATCAATGTATCTTCCTGGTCTGAAGAAACTGGTTTTCTGCATTTGTCGCGATCCAAAAATCTACACATTTGACAGACAACGAATAGAAAATAGGATACGCCGCCAGATAGGAACCCTCTCCTCTAAGATGATCTTAGACTTCGAATTTGAGTAGGAAGTACTTGAGTAGTACTGGTGACATCTCCGCCATTAGTAAGTCCTAAACATAATGCATCAATACAGATAGGGACTGACATGGGAATCTGAATAGGGTCGGTATTCCCTACAGCTACGAAACCGGATGGTATCTCGTATGAGCAGCCTCATGGCACGGTCGTGATGAAGGGTATCATGAATCCGGTGGTTGGGAACTGGAGCGACACATGTCCTTCATCTTCCAAGGTACTGGCATCTTCAAAATTATGCAACCAAAACTGATTTTACCATGGCGAATCTGGTCTTCTTTCTTCAGTAGGAAATTGCAATAGGGCAAAAGGTACTGCTTTCTGTCATTTCTGCGAATCCAAATTATAATTTGCCGATGATATATATTTTCCCTTGAATTATTGCCCAATTCAGACTCTAGTCCTGAAAACCTCGAAAAGTTTAATCAGAGTGCGTCCGGTCAGGTGTCCGTACGATACAACAAGGCCCCTCAAGTATAGTCCGCTGGGTGTTCAGAGATGGGCAGGCGAGTCACTTCATCTCGGCGGTTGTACATCAAGAGAAGAGAAAGATCATGTCAAATTTATGCAAAATGAATCAAGTTGGGGTGGTTTATTTTGGAATCAAAGTTTGTATGTTCCGTCAAGCCTAATTACAGAAGCCGGCCACACGGCATGTATATATGATATTAGGCTCCTACAAGCTGTGTCTGTCCACTACTTTCACAGTCAAATACCGACTGTCCACCATACCAAGCCACGGGTGCCTACTTCTGAACACAGCTCGTGATGGACTTTGCGGGAATCTCTTCGCGTAAGAAATTGAAAAGGAGCTCTTGAAGCTTTTCTTTTTCTTCGACTTTTGTGGCAGAGTCGATGTCCTGGTTAAAGTGGTTGTCCCAGACAACTCGCATATCAATATTGGATATCCTTCTCAGCTTCTTGAGTGGCAAAATAGCGGCCGAATATGCGGCATATATTGAGAAGACAATTGGTTCCTCACGGAATTGCCTGATCAGGAAATCAAGCGCGCATCCACCAATCCGGATTTCGAGCAAATAGTCAAAGATGTCGAGACCTACATCGAGACTTTTGATAGATGGTAGCATGAGCGACAATAAGGTTATGCCTTTTGGGATATCCTCGACAAGTGCTAGGCACACCTGAGATTTTTTTCGTGATCACTCCCCATCGAGACGTTGGAGATAGTCAGAGTAATCTGGAAGTTTGGGCAGTCGTAACGGCATTAGATGGCCATACTTTACGGGAAATTTTTCTCGGTGGATAAGACTTGTGACTCGAAGTTTTCGTAAGTAGATATGCTTGATGCGCTTTCGGATGTCGAATGGAACTTGTTTGTAGAAGGCGGCGAGGAGAGAATTGTGCGGCTCCTTGTGGCTGATGAAGACCCACCGAAACCACCGTGTAGTAAGATACTCTGCTGCTTCTTTGTAGACATCCGCTGGGTACCGCTGCGCCAGTGATGCCAGAAGGTCTAGAGCTGGTGACTTGAGTGACTGCTTGTTGTCATGCGCAAGTTCGACCTCGATGTCCGTGACGCCACCGTTGTCGACGTTGTTGCTGACTGCCCACTTGAAGACCATGTGCTTGAGTTCCAAAGGCATCCGCCGAGCAAAGTTGTCCTCGAATGTACCGCTCTTCGTTGTCATCTTGAACAATGGATTCGTAATCGGACCCGAGGGGAAGCGCCTTGTTTGGCTGACTCTTCGGTTGTGGTGTTAGATGTTAGAAGTGTGGACAGAGATATCGGTCGAGAGCAAAGTATTTGTTCCTGCACGGCTACATAGGAAGTAGAAGGTAAAAGAGGAAGGTTTTAGTCAAGGTGTTTCACATGTAAAGAAAACGATCTTCACCGCAAGTCTGTCATAGGTGAGAGATAGTCTCGAGTATTGTTGCGATATTTGCGGGCTTCTTAGACTGGTCGCGTGCAGCCTGAAAGGTGGCATTGGTTCACCCGTCGCTGTAAATCCATTTTATTCATACTATTCGTTAGCTGATGCATGATGCGAGTAGAGTAACAGAAGTGAGATATTTCGTGCAATAAGAAACGCCAATGCATACAAGTGAGAGAAGGTGCAGATCACGTGCGAACCATGACGTACTACCCCACCCCCACGTTTTCCAAAGTGGGGGAAAGGATCCTTCTTGCACTTGCAACATCTCGGCCGCGCAGCGAACATCGGCAAGACTGCCGGGTGTCGTCTTCCTCCACCGGAATCTAGAAGCTGTGGGCTAGGCCTCCCATGCAACGCGCCAATGAGTCACTTATAAAGATGGGGACTGTTGCGACTACTACGCTTAAACCCGCGACGGGTTTAACGTCCCCACTAACCATGCAGGCCATCACCTGTCTTTTGTAGGCTGCAACTCTTCCTCTTTTTCTTTTTCTTCTCTATCTTCTCTTGATTTACCATTTCGTGGCTGTTGGAACTGCGTATTCCATCATCCACGAGTGAGTCGACCCAGAGCTTTCTATTCCGACACTATCCGTCGTATATCGCCACTATGGCTCCCGTCTTCGTATCACGAATTGCGAGCTTCCTCGGTATCCAATCACTCAATGCAACGGGAAGAGATGCCTATATTATCATTACACTGCGCTCCTTGCGCATGTTTACTGCTGGCATTCCCAGTCTTGTCCTGGCCCTGTTCTTCGCCTCGCTCGATTTTCCTGATTCAAGAATCGGGGCTTTTATGACCTTGACGTTACTTGGCGATGTTATGCTCTCCTTGCTACTTACCTTGGTGGCGGACAAGCTAGGGAGAAGAAGAATCTTGTTTATGGGCAGCGTGATGATGGCTTGCTCAGGTGTCACGTTTGCTCTTTCCGAAAATTTCTGGATCCTCTTAATCGCGGCAGTCTTTGGCATTATTTCCGTTACTGGAGCCGACTGCGGGCCTTTCAGGGCGGTCGAAGAGAGCATACTCAGTGGATTGACGAACGAGAAGACAAGAAGTGACGTTTTGTCGTGGTATGTGACGGCGACCACAATGGCTGGTGCTATAGGAGCCGAGGTTGCAGGGCGAATGGTAAATGCTTTTGAGAAGAGCAGCGGCAACGCTACCAAAGCATACCATGCTTTGTTCTGGGGGTACGCTGCCTTTGGTGCGCTTGGCAGTATATTGTGTCTGGGATTGAGCAGCAGATGCGAGGCTGCTGGCGAGAAACTTGCCGAGATGAAAGAGCGAAGGAGAGCTAGTGGTGACGGAGAAGAGGGAGAAATGCTTCTGGAAGCAATGACGCCGAGTACAACAGACGGATTCGATCATGGCGGCGAACCCTCGAGGAGACAGGAAAATATCCGAGTCCCACAATCGCCTAAGAAAAAAAGTTATTTCAGTCAAATCTCCAAAACCACGCGATCGATCTTGTACAAGCTCTGGATCCTCCTTGCTGTCGACAGCTTATCGGATGGAATGACACCCTACTCGCTCATGAACTACTACGTCGACCGCAAGTTTAGCGTCTCTAAAGCTACACTCGGAGACATCACATCAGCCTCACAATTCCTTTGCGCAGTCGGCGCTGTTTTCGCTGGGCCACTAGCCAAACGGATTGGACTCATCAACACCATGGTCTTTACGCATCTCCCTTCGTCGTTATCCATTGTTTTCATCCCTGTGCCCACAAAGCCTGCATGGACAATCGGGCTGATGCTTTTCCGCGCCGCTCTCAACAGCATGGATCAAGCCCCGCGTACAGCCTTTATTGCTGCAGTCGTCAAACCCGAGGAGCGCACAGGTGCTATGGGTATCACAAGTATGGTGCGTACCCTGGCTATGAGCGTGGGACCGTCAATCACTGGTCTGCTCGCTGGCAGTGACAACTTCTGGGTAGCTTTCTTGGCATCGGGTACGTGTAGAATAATCTACGACATTGGGCTGTGGATCTTGTTCGTGAATGTCAAGGTTGAGCAGGGTGCTGGGAGGCAGGATGAGGCAGACAGTGTGCAAGATGAAGCTTGGGATGGTTTGCTTAGCGACACGGAAAGTGATGTCAGCAGCGAGGGAAGAAAGAGCAAAGACATTGAAAGCGAAAGCAGTGTTTAGATTGTAGAGCCAACAAAAAGCGTAGATAGACTTTATACAAAAGAAATCATCAAACAGTAACAAATCTCTACAAAATTAGCACTGCGCCTTCTCAGCCCGCAACAAGATCTCGTTCCGATCGTCAGTCTGCAACTGCACCTTCACAGCCTTTGCTTGTTTCTTTTTCGCGCTCAAGCTGCCCTTGCCACTGAACCTGTCTTTTGTCTGGTGATCCAAACCATGGAACAACGACACCAGCGCGCTCGTCTTCCAGGCCTGTGTATCGGACGTATGCGTCATGGTCATGGAAGCCAGCAAGAAGACAAGAGTAGCCAGAACAGCAGTAATGGGCAGCACTGCGAAGCCCCATCGAACATGCACATACGACTCGACCGTCATGGACTTCCCGGCCGTAGGCACGGCGCCCATGAAGCTGCGGAATGCCGTGGTCATGGATATCGCCAGGTCGCTCATGAGCATGTCAAGTCCATTAGTGTACTCGTAGTAGTTCCAGTAAAACGCGGTCAGGATATCCGTGTCAAAGAAGGTTTCTCCTGATGCAATACCGACTGTGAGATTAACAACAACAGCGCGATCAGGGTCGGTGATGCTGCGGGTGAAGTCGCTGGTGGTCCGGGTCGCAGAACCGTTTGTGAAGATTGCGCCGAACCAGCCGCGGATACTCAGGAGGGCACCCATGCCAAGGAGATATGCAGGGTCCTTGGAGTTACCTTGGATGTAAATACCGTAGTCGGCCTCTGGGTCTGGAGAGCTCATGTCGAGGACTGTGTGGTTCATTACGGAGTGCGTGATGTTTTCTTGATGCGTACCGTTTACTACTGATGCTGATATTGTGTTAACGCAGGCTTGCAGTGTGCACTGTGTGGCCCAGGGGTTGAGGACTCGGGGGGTGTCCTGGTGCTCTGTACCCATGAAGATGAGCTTGATAAAGGTGGAGTGAGACATGTCGCCGTACGCGGATGGGATGAATGAAGTCATGCTGAATACATCGGAGCTGGTGTTAAGCAGCGCTCCTTGAGGTACTTGCCAGCCACATGAGGATATGTTGGCTGAGTCGCTTATCTCTGGTGGACAGTATCGCGTCATGAGGGGTGTGATGTCGGTGCATTCGTGGCAAACAGCGAGTGACTCGAAGGGCTTCCACGCGCAGTTACCACTCGAGCATTGAAATTTTAGAGATGCTGCTGGTCTATTGTTCTCTGCGAACAGGCCGTTGTAAACTGCAGCTTTCAAGGGAAGTATTGGTACAAAACCAGCTATAACGTGTTAGTAGACTGGCTGATGATATTTTCCGGAGAGACTTACTACTGCTTGTGTTACCCGGCAATGCACCAGTGTAGTTGACGGCTCTAGGGATGATAGCACCGACATCGCTTTCGACGATTCGCATCTTGTACGTCGCTATCTGCTGTGCGAAGGGCCCAAGTGCTAGACCAACGATAGCAACGATGGCTCCAAAAGACCCAAGCAATCTGAGAAACAGACGTGTCAGTCATACGAAGCTAATGTATGAAGCAAATTGACTTACCCTCCTCTACCCGTTACGAGTAACTTAAGGGACCCCCAGGAACCACGACTGGCTTCGTCAAAAACCTCAATGTCGGAGAGTGGATTCGGCTTTTGCTTGAAGCGAATCCATTTTGCCTGTGAGATTCCGCTCGAAAGGCAAACGGACATTGTAGCGTTGGCACATGTAGCCATCAAAGCGATGAGGGCGTTCAGAGTAATGTCGTGAGGCCAGTCCGGTAAAGCACGCCCATTGTACTTGAAAACGACTCCAATGATAGCACCAACAGCTCCGAGAGCGACGAAGATGGCCATCATCTCAAATGCCCAGGTACGAGCATGAGAAGACTTGGGCTTGCCCCCAGACCTCTGGCTGGATGTTTCCGAGGTGACGGCGGTGGCCTCTGTAGAGGTGCTCCAATGTGCAACATGTTTGGTATTTCGTGTTCCCACTGTAGATACCGGGCTGGCATGATCGTATTCAAAATTACGATCGTCTTGCCCATACCGTTGTTGAGTTGGCGAGGGTGAGTTGCAGCCCTCGTTTACTGGCTCAATCTCAACGTTAGGCTGACTCTTGGGCAGATGTTGGTACGCCATTGGAAATTTGAGATGGAGGAGATTCGTCCCTACGCAGAGGCTCAAATGAGAAACTCAGAAGGGGAAATGGCTCAACATCAGTATTGATATGGGAACTGGATTTTCGCCTTTTGTTCAGCTGGCTTCCATGCCTTGGCTCCCAAGCCTTGGCTCCCAAGCACGATAAGCTACAGCAACCTACTCCAAGGTGTGGTAAGCTCATGCCGCGGACCTTAGATTAGGATATGCCCGTCCCGCATTGCAGTAGGGCAGATGGGGGCTAAAATAAAGCAACTCTAATTCGTCGCCTACTCTACAGGAATCGCCTACCGCACGGAGAAACCTGAAAATGTGTCTTAGTTGCCTAATAGAAACACAAATTGTGTGGATAGATGCGGTGGCACTGCATAATATACAGGGTGCAAGGCTGAACAGGCGCATCGTCAGAGTTACTGAGAAGTGAGCGGATGCAGAAGCTCGGCAGGCTAGTATGTGAAGTCTTGGTATATGCATGGAACAACATGTCTGAGTGCTACTGGGCGCCACAATGTTAGCAGAGGACATTCAATACATCTGAACAGATAGAATGGTTCAGCCCCGCACTTTCAGCCCCCATTATCGGCTTTTACAGCTTGAATTGGCTACGTAGTTTTTTGCGTTAGATAAGCTGGTGGAGGCGATAGATAGCAACGTGCGTGAGCTGAGGTTGGTGGGGCACACCTATTGGTCTGGACTTTTTGGTGGCGCTGAGCATGAGGCTGAAGATGTGAGTACTATGGGGCCATTGAGCGACGAAGACTGGTTCTAGACCCTTACTTACACATTAAATGTTTACATGATTTTGTAACAGGAAATTTGATAGACAATTTCTTTGCCTTCGATGTTATTGTGGCTGTCATAGGTTCCATCTCATTAGGAAATCAAGAATAGTAGAGAAGTCTTTGGTTGAAGCTTAGAGCGGGACGGCCCATGCACCATCTACTACGTACCCTAGAACTATTCCGCTGAGGTGGCATCATAACGCCGGCATTGTTGAAAAGCACATTCAATCTCTTTTCTTTGTTCAGAAACTCTTCGGCGGAAGACTTGATCCCTCGTGGATCATTGAGGTCTAGCTTGAGGAAATGCAGCTGACCAGTTGCATTTGGATGGCGTTCCTTGATCCAAGATATCGCAGTCTTTGCTTTCTCTGCTGAACGTGCCGCAACGTAAACTGTGCCGTTACGGCTATATATGTAAGAGACGAGCGAGCTCTTTGCCCACGCCTGCTGAGGCCCCGGTGACGATGTAAACTTTTGACGTGAGGTCAGGAACGTTTTCTTCTGTGAAATTTGGAATTGGAGGAAAGGCTTGGGAGAATTGACTGGCTATCATATTTAGATCCCGAGATGCTCTAGTAATGAGCCAATAGTTTTTGGACAGAACCGGAATAATCGCTCAATATGCCTGGGTCTCGTTGAGAACTGCGTAACTGGAACCGAAGTATCGGAACGAACGATGTGTAACTTCCTCAGGTAATCATAACAAGTTTGTTTGTGGATTGAAATCTTTGTACCTTCAGGTTTATGGCGTTAGGTCTTCAGAGATTTATCGAATGCTGAATTGTGACCCTACACAGCACGTCTGTTCTTCATCCTCTCTCTCTTTATGGACATCTTGGAGTGGTTTGATAAACTTTCGACCTGATTTAACAGTCGTCTTTACTAGTGAAGCCATAAAAATTCGGACAAATTGCGTGGAGCTACTCGTCATGTGTTTTCCTTGTCAGCAGTTGTATACTGTCTTTAACAACAGAGGATAGGAGTAGAATCATGTGACGACTCGGATTTAAGGCATTACTTCCATGGGGCTTTTCGTCCGTCTGCTTAGTCTGCTCAGCATCGACCTGGCATACTCATCACGTGCTGCATCAAACTTAGCTCGTCGCCGTACTTTTGAACAATACTCAAGATTTGATAGTGCAAAGGAATCAACAAGCGTAATAGTTTTCAGATGGTTTACCATTCAGGTGATGCAGATACTTTGAATACAGCAAAGCAAGACCGTGTAAGGAGAGGGGACACACGGAGCAAGGCAGGGGTGAAGGCGACTAGTGCAACCAGAAGTAACTCCGCAAAATGACTGCATGACAACTGTCAATGCTGCATTCTGCACTATGGTACCTCATGCCGTACTGCCTACACGTGTTGTTGCTGCCTTTATTTCTGTAACCTTGGGTATAGACTCTCTCTCCTTCTTCAGCTTCTCTTGTATGGCTTGATAGTTCCTACTCATAGCATTCCTGGTAAACTCCTCGCCCGTAACCATTGGATATCTCTTCAATGGACCTTGGATCTTGGCGTCTTTGCATGGCTGGTTGAAGAAAGCAATGCTGTATCGCTCGCCATAGTAGTCGTCTGGCTCACATGGTGCCTTGACGCGATGAAAGGTCGATTTGAAGCGGTCATCAGACCATGACATGAGCAAGTCGCCGACATTGCATACTATAGAAGTTCAGCGCCATGTTAATTTTCTAGCCAAAAATCAACGTACCAATTGCATTCTTCTCAACATCAGGCTCGACCTTTGTCCATGCGTCGCCATACCCAAACGAAGTCGAAACTTCCCTTCCTGGGCAAATCTCAAGGCCCGACTGACCAGCTTTTTGAAACAACAAAGTCAAAAAGTCCCAGTCAGCATGCGCACCGGCCCTATGATATACCTGCCCAGTTGAGTCTTGCACTTTGGGTGTTTCAAAATAGTGTAGGAGCCGACAAACGGTCTGACACTCTGGTCTCCTGACATCGTGGGCTTTGACAAAGTAGTCGTCTTCGAACTTCAGACCTCTAGCAAAACACTTCATGAGCTTTTCGCTGACCACTTGTGCTTGATGCATGAACTCCAACGCTTGTGTCTGAAAGCCTGGTAATGTCTCCTCATCCAGCCAGCGCCCTTTCACCCATCAGATTTGCAACAAAGTATAAAATTTACAATCATGACTCACCATTCATGGCCTCTCCAAATTGCATCTGGTACGACTCTTTGCGATCAACGGCCCCTGTCGAAGGCCTTATCTGCGCGTTCTTTTCCCATCCAGCGTTGTGCTGAGGAGAGAAGGGTACCCTTGACTTTACGTCGTCCGACTGATTGAAGAAGCGTGATGACTGATCAAAGATGCGATCAATAGAGTCACGGCTGATTCCATGATCTACAATGCAAAAGAAGCCATGGTTTTCAGCGGCATCAATGAGCTCCTTGGTGATCTCATTCACCCGTGAGTCGAAATCACGAAGCGAAATTGTCGGCACAGGACGATCAATGTATTTTGTGGGCGCCATAAGGAAATGCTGATGATGTAAATTATTCAATGCTGATGAGCTGTAGTTTCAAGCCTCCCTTCAACCACATACCATACTTACTCTTATGTCCTCTCACATCCGTCATAATGCACGCTTCTCGGGCGAAGATCATCAAACCCAAAATCGCCGTGGTCGGTGCGGCCGTTAAGCCCGGCCGCCGTTGGTGGCAAGTGATGGAAGTGTAACGATAAGCAGTGCACACTTGGGGCGGGTGGGGCATGCGAGACTAGATTGGGTGTAGATAAGGCCACCCTCAGTGCCGTCCGCCATCTCGGCCGCCCCCTGCTCCTCGTCCATGCCATCTCAACATGTCGACCCATTGGTCCACCTGCTGCTGCTACGTCCTGCATGCGCATACTATTACCACGTGATGCTAACAGTTAGGTCTTTGAGGTCTTGGAACGCCCTCGAACTTAACTATCGACCTGATATCGACTGTTATCAGCATCTATGGACGACGGTAACGCTTTCAAAGGGCAAAGGGCCCGATTGACATGCACAGAATGTTATAGGAGGAAGATCAAGTGCGACAAGAATGTGCCTTGCAGTACCTGCATCAAAAGGTTAGCACCTCTCTTCACATTGTAGACTAAGACATTAGGGCTTGCGTTTGAGCCAGCAGGCTGAAACCATTCACGATGATACTTGTGCTTGGTTGTCGCTGTACAAAATAACTCAATTGACCGAATTTCTCTCTGCAACATATGGTGCTAAGTCGCAACTAGGGGTTACGCAAACTTTTGTACAAGAGAGGATGCTTCAACTATACCATCGGTACCCCCTCCCGCTTACCAAGCCCAAAGGGTTCCAACAGCATCCGACGGTTTCATGCGTACAATTATGGAACGTGTAGGCGAACTTGAATCCAAGCTAGGGAGACGGCATGATGCATCTTTGAGTGAAGCGCCCTTCCAACATCCCGAAGATGCTTCATCGAGTCCGACACATAATCATGTACCGACTTCTCCTCTACAAGAAAACACGGCCGATGTACCTTCTGAGGCTGCTGATACGGCTACTGTCCTGGAGTTCCTAGCATGGGGTCGCAAGAAAGATGCCCAATACGGGTCATCGGCAGAGCACAACAGTGGGCCGAGACGGTTCAGCGTAGGGCAAGATGACCCAGCAATCGCATCCAACACCATGACCGAGGCTAGTAGAGACGCACAGCTCGATATTCTAGAAGCTCTTCTTCCTAGCAAGGAACATCTTTTGCAGCTTGTCGAATACCACAACAGCTCGATCCTCTGGTACCATTGCTCCTACTCGTCAACGATATTCAATCAAGATTTGGATCTATTTTTCACAGAGTACGAAAGTAATGTACACAATGAGAACCTAAACCTACAGTGGCTTGGACTTTTATTTTCCATCATTACTGGAAGCATCACATGTGCGCCCCCATCTGTGTACCAATCATGGGGATTCTCATCAGCCGAAAAAACAGCGTTATCAAAAAGATGGTACGAAGCAAGTGTGACATGTCTCAACATTGCATGTTACATCGAGAATCACACCATATATTCCGTACAAGCAATCGCCACTCTGACAATCGCGGCTCACGTTTTGGGCAAATCGAATAGCCAATCAGTCTTGCTTGCTTCAGCCGGACGTATTGCGCAAAGCTTAGGTCTGCACCGCCTTGGCCCTGAGGGCACAACCGCTGCTGTTTCCCAACAGCAACTTCGCCATCGTGAAATGGGACGAAGAGTATTTAACCAGCTCTGTACGCAAGACTGGTTTCAGATTCCGTTTTCCGAAACCTATTCACTCAACCCCCGCTTCTGTCAGAACGCAAAACTTTTGAATTGCAACGACGACGACATGATACCTGAGCTTTTGTCTGTACCAACCCAAGCAAGTTATTGCAGTTACCGTTATGATATTGCTAAACTTATGCCACAATTGCTAGACGCTACGGCTGACTGCAATACGCTTTTCACAAAGTATGAAAAGGTACTGCAGTATGACGAGAAAATGCGGAAGCTTGCCACGGCCTGTATGCCGACCTTCTTATCAACCAACGCGCCCGTATCCAACGACTGGCCGGTCCATGTAGGGTGGGCAAGGCGATCCTTAGCCATTTGCGCTTCGCACAAGATCATCATGATACATCGAAAATTCTTGGGACTTTCGTTTACTAATTCAGCCTTCTCATTTACTCGCCGCACATGCATTGCAGCTTCCAAGACTATCCTGAAAGAAGCGCTATCAGAAAATGATGAGCGGGCCCCGATATTATGGATTGAGCAGGCGTTCTCGATTGCAGCAGGCATCATTCTTAGCCTCGATGCGTTGCATCGAAGCACAGACGAAAAAGAAGTTGAGGAGCACATGAAGCTTGTTGCGGACACAATCGATTACTTGAAGGGTCTCGATGAGAGCAAGATCGCTTCGCGTGGTATTCAGTTACTTTCAGCGCTGCAACGAGAGATCCGGGAGGGTGGAACGATTGGGAGTAGAAAGCGACCACGAACAGCAGAGTCCAGTGATACAACTTGCTCATCGAGGAAGCGGGCCCGCGTGTTGGATGTGGAAAGTTTCATCAGCAATATGTCGCAAAATCTTCAAGTGACTATTCCCACCTCTGCACCAACAGCCCAGGTTCCCGAGTATGTGGGGGATGCTTCATGGGACTCTTTTGTGAATATGGTGCCTCCGCAGACAGTTTTGGGAGGACACAGTCTTTTCGATGATCTGCTTTCATTTCGGTTTTGAGTCTATATATACTTCAACGACATGTGGTTTCTCGCACCCACGCCGCTTCTTTGTCGTATGCCTGCTATCGAATCCCTAGCTTTATCTATGACTATATCTTCGTCAATGTGCAACAATTCTCCCTTGCTGACAAGGACCTGGCCGTCCACTATCACAGTGTCGACATCGGCTCCTGAAGAGTGAACAAGCACCGTGACTGGATCTACTCCACCGGTACTCTGCTCAGATGCAACCCATGGGGCATTCGATACGCCTCTCGGTTCAACAACGACAACATCCGCCTTTTTCCCAATCTCTAAACTGCCAATCTCGCTGTCCAATCCCAACGCTTTGGCACCGTTTATCGTAGCAAATTCTAAGACATCATACGCACTCAGTACACCGGCCTGATGCCTCACCCCGCCATGAAGTATTGCCGCTAGATGCATCTCCTGGAACATGTCGTACGTGTTGTTGCAAGGCGCGCCATCTGTTCCCAATGCCACATTGACGCCACTCGCGACCATATCCGGTATACTCGCGACTCCAGAGCCAAGCTTGAGATTGCTTGTTGGATTGTGCGAAACAGAGCTGTTGCTCTCACGCAATATGTCGTAATCTCCAGCTGCTGGATCTAGATGCACACAATGTGCAAATACGCTTTTAGGACCTGTCAGCGACGCATCGCGACAAAACTCCATGGGGTTGCGTTGGTAGTAGTCCCGATAGATGGGCAGATCTTTTGGGGCTTCTGCGCAGTGCATGGTAATACCGATGTTTTGCGCTCGCGCTGTCTCGCCTATCGAGGTGTGTGCAGCCATTGGAGAGCCTCGAGGTGTGCCGGCGGCAAACCACACGTGTAAGCGGTCGTTGCAGGTGCTGTGGTGTTTCTTGTGGGCTGAAAGTGCAGCAGCTACAGACATGGAGTCGACGTCGCGATCTCTTGCGTCCTTCATGTTGAGATTTGCGTTTGTTTCAGCGACCTTGATCAGTTTTCCCTTGGAAGTTTGTCAGTAAGTTGTTCAGTGACTTTGGTTGATCTTTCCGAAACCTACTAAGCAAGCTCGTATGCCCGTCTCTTGTACAGCTCGAACGACGTTCTCAAGCCCGCTTCTGTGCGTGAGCATGGCTTCGAGAAAACACGTTGTTCCTGTCTTGAGCATCTCGGCTATCGTCAACATAGACGCTACGTAGCCATCGTCTTCGGCATAGTTTGCTTCCAACGGCCAAATTGCGTCGCAAAGCCAGTTGTGAAGTGGGAGATCCTCGGCGAGCCCCCGTAACAGTGACTGTGCTAGATGTGCGTGTGTGTTGACCAGGCCAGGCATAACGATTTTGTTCGTGCAATCTATTATTTCGAGATCTTGATTACTTTCCGGTTGCACTTGTTTCACGAGATCCGCGGTCTTTCCAATCGATGAGATATGGCCATTTTCGATAAGCAGTGCGCCATCAAGGATGATTTCCCGGCTCTTGTTGACGGTGATGATGGTCGTATGAACTAATAGTCGTCTGGGAGCTGCGCTTATCGAACACATCGCTCCCTTGACAAGATTTGGGGTTTGTTTGGAGTGTTGAGATATCTGCAGTAAAGTCAGGTGTTAAATGTAGCCAGCCTTCTTCCTTGAGATGTTGATGTATGTGGATTGGAATATGAACAGAACCACGAATCACGAGCGAGTTCCGAAACCAAATAGCCCATGTGTTTAGTGAATCAGTTTCTGTACATATGGGTATCTGCTGTCCTCTAACCATGAGTACAGTGCTGTGTATACCAATCACTGCTTCCGCCAGCTCGCCTAAAAGTGACAAGGGGCGGCCGACGCTAACATGATAGCATCCCCTTATCGTCATACTGTCTACCTTACTTCACAGGACATGCCGACAAAGTTCTTGCGCTCATTGAGTATTATGCTGCCTCTGATAGCGGGCCTCCAGTGGATTGGCTATCGCGGGATCTGCGAACTCACGAACGCCTATCATAGGAAACGCGCGCTGCCGGCTTAGTACCACGAAATGACAATGGCAGGGACCATGTTGTATATACATGGAGCGCGATCGCGTCTGCCAGATCTACGTAGAGCTACTTGGAATCGTAGCTGACGCTTCAGCTTGAACCGATAGCAGCCATGGTCGTGGAACCTCCAAGTGACGTGGAGCAAAAGTCAAAGTATGCCGAAGAAACAGGTCCATATTCGCCCGTAACCAGCCACGAAGCAGGCACTGTAACGACAAGATGGCAAGACACGCTTGCAGAGCTCAAATACTCATTTACTACAAAAGACGGTTGGATCGGTAACTACGTGAGTTTATCTTCTATGGACGTTACTCAGGATATCAAATGCTAACAACACCAAGGACTACGTCTACCTTATCACCCCCAATATCTGGCCCTTGAACAAAAAATACAAAAACTACAAAGCCCCATTCTACGGCCTAAATGACCGTGTCCCCATACTATTAACTCTCCTCCTCGGCCTCCAACACGCCCTCACCATGATCGGCTCCATCGTCTCCCCTCCCCTCGCCATTGCCTCGGGCGCCTTCAAGTTCGATCCAGACATGACCACGTACCTCGTCTCCACCGCTTTCATCACCACCGGCCTAGCAACAGCCCTGCAAGTGACACGCCTCCACATTACGAAAACGCCCTTTTTCATCGGCACCGGTCTGCTGAGCGTCGTAGGACCCACCTTCGACATCCTCCCCATCGTCTTCAACTACGCCGCCCTACGCTACAAATCCGGTACTTGTCCCGTCCTGCCCGACGGAACACAAGCACCGTGCCCAGACGCCTGGGGCGCATGCCTAGGCACCATGCTGTGCTGCGTGTGGATCCAAATAGCAATGGCCTTTGTGCCCCCCAAGCTCCTCAACAAAGTCTTCCCCAAACTCATCACCGGATCCCTGCTCACGCTAATCGGCGTTTATCTCGTCGGCAACGGGCTGCAGAACTGGGGCGGGTCCTCGAATTGCCATCACGGCGACGGCTTCTACGCGCTTTGTCCAGATGTGTCTGCGCCGAAACCGCTGGTTTGGGGGCACCCGAAACTGATAGGGCTGGGGTTTAGCGTGTTTGCTACTATCATAATTGTAGAGGCTGTGGGTGCGCCGCTCATGCGCTCCGCTTCCGTGGTCATCGGTTTGGTGGTTGGCTGCGCCGTGTCGGGCGCAACGGGGTACTGGTCTACGGAGCAGCTGGATCGAGCGCCTCGAGGCACCTTTCTCTGGGTGCATACGTTCAAGCTGTCTGTCGATGGAGCACTGGTCTTACCCATGATCATCATGTTTGCGTGTCAAGCGGTGTCTTGCATCCCGGATATCCTGGCCACGGCCGAGCTGTCAGATGTGGATATTGAGGGCATAGTGTTCAACAGCAGAGTCCAGGGCGGTATCTTGTGCGATGGCATTGGCAGCTTCCTCAGTGCTCTTGCTACCGGTCCACCGATGGTCAGCCAAGCCGGTAACAATGGTGTTATAGTGCTTACAGGCTGTGCGTCTCGTCGAGCAGGTTGGGCAGCAAGTGGGTTTCTGGTTCTCATGGGAGTCGTTGCTAAATTCGGGGCTGTTTTTGCTTCTATGCCTCCTTCGGTGCTCGGTGGTATGCAAGTCTTCCTCTACAGCACCATTGCCGTAGCGGGCATCCGCGTCCTCGCACTCATCTCGTGGACACGCCGCGACCGCTTCATTCTCGCCGTCGCACTTGGTATCGGATTTATGGATATCTGCCAACCTGACTGGTTTGCCCAGATTCTGGCCTACAACGGACCAAATGAGAACTTAATCGGATTCGAGCAGGGAATCAATCTCGCGGTTGAAACGCCGTTTGTTATCGCTGCCATTGTAGGCATAATCTTAAACGCAGTCCTTCCGAAAGATCAGAGTGCTGTGCCGATCCTGGCATATGGCAACCAACAAAGGGTATCCTAGGGCTGCCATGCGTGAAGATTAGTTTGATCCTGACAAGCTTCCGATATCGATTTAAACAATTTGTTACACTTTTGCACTACGTAAGCAATGTCAGACCCGAATCCCGAAGTAAGAGCCAAAAAAAAGCAGCGTTGTCCCTGCTCAAAAAAAAAATACCGCCATGTCGTTTGAATTGACGGATAGATTCAGTTTCACTAGTAGTGTAGTCTCCCTAAAGTTCCGGGTTTTGCCAAGGCTTTTTTTTTCAAATCCCGAGAGAGACATTTTGAATACTAACTACGTACTCTCTCTCTCTCCCTTACGTACTTACACAGCAAAGAACTCTGGAGCACATGCATCTTCGACTCAAAGAGTAACTAGGTGCAGGGCCCCGCCTTCCCAGTTCGTAAAGAGCAAAACAACTGCACATCATTTGCCTCGTGCGTGCAAGGAAATCATAGTGCATACAACGCAATGTAACACTCTCTCGTACACAATGTACAAAGTACCACACTACTATACCAGCCTCGGGGCCAACAACCATTAGGCATCTTTTCGTATGCGTGTGCCCCACGATCCCCCATCTCTCGCCATATTTCCAAGCCGACAATCCTCTAACCTCATCTTGTTACCCTGCCCCGCTCCAGCGGATGTCTTCGGGTCCACGAAAGGTTCTTTTTAACACTACTTACACGAGCAAAGAAAAAGAGGGTGGGGTTACACACACATACGTCATGTTATGCAACTTACTCGCATAAACGTAGCGTACAAAAGGAAAACGAGCGATTTCCCAACACACTGATAAGGTTCACTCGCTCTGTCTCTCTCTCTCGGCTATAGTATTTACTATACCCGACACACGAGAAAAAGAAACAAGGCCCGATAGTAAACCGCCGCTAAACTTTTTGTCTTAAACCAAAAACACCATGCATGAAGGACATGAATACGATGATCGGTGAGGCGGGGGGGGCCGGAGTAATGCGAGAGATAGAGATAGATAAAAGCCCACTCTTTCGGTGTCCGGACTTTTTTTTCTTCAAGGGATATAAAAAAAAAGATAACTAAATTGTAAACTAGTTAGTTTACTTACCTACCCAGATGTTACGGGCCGA